AAATAATCTTTTTCCGTCTGTGTTAGCTGTTGCAGCAATAAACATTCCCCTTTGACATCACTTTCTGTTATGTCACGTGCAAAATTATCAACAACTCTTCATCTTAGAGGCGTGAAATTTTCTTACGTTGTCAATGTTATCTTTCCAAAAATGCATTCATATTTATTGCAAAGAATTGATGTCACAGGCACTTTAACCACATCTTTCATTATTTAACTTTTACATTTGGGATTTAATATTTACATATAACATTTAGTTGCAATTAGCTATAATGTAAGGACAGTGAACTAAATAATAAAACGTGTTAGTGACATTTTTTAACATTTTATTTCACACATGGTGCTCCATAATTTTCTCACGTTTATTAGCAGCTTTTATAAACACCTAACGGTAATGGATGTAACGTCATAAAGCCTTTAAGGTCCATCTTCAGTCAAGCTGTAGATGTCAACCCAGTGATTACTCGCAGAATCGGTCTGGTTAAGGRTCAGCTTCTCCAAATAAATATCTGCAACAGGTAAGATATTGATTGTTTCACTTCAAACAGATGCAAGTTATCAGGACTTSTGTTTGATGGAAACTGCTGCTGAATTCATTGTTAAATGTTCTATAACAGGTAAAATCGTTGGTGTGGTCCTTTAAATCTGTACAGAACAATCCTCTCTTATTCAAAGCCATTTGAAGCCGACTGTCAGGTCATAAATATCTTTTTGTACTGCTATAGATAGGTGGATCTGGTAGATATTTGCTCAGATAGATGGATAGATAACTGCTCCTCCTGGTTGTAGTGTTTTAGGTGAATAAAACCTGTTGTGTTGCTRTCTGAGCCGATGATGTTATCCAGCCAGAGGATGGCGACATTGCTCCGTCTCGACTGGACCAAGCCCTTGGCGTTTTCTTCCTTCTCCTTATTTTTTGTGTTATTTTATACGGTTGCTGTAAGTGTATGGATCTGTGACGTTCTGTGAATCATTGTGTCGTGAAGCATCTTGACCGTCCCGAGCCTGCTGTACATAAACTCCATGTTTTCTGCCCGTTCTGGCCCTGCAGCTTTGTGTAAATACAGTTTTGTCTCCAGGCCTGCAGAGTAAATGTGTCATCAGATGTTCCTGTGCTGAATCATGGTTGAATATTAAAGCGTAAACCTGCTGAGAACTTGCCGCCGCCTCTTGTTTCTCTTTCCAGAGCAGTTATTGTCCCAAACAGGTCATGATGCACTGTGGGTGTCATGTGAAAGAATAAATAAAAGATTTATTGTTGTTTTTGTTGTTAACTATTGTAAGAACTGTCGCAAATCCAAAACTGACAACAAAARGCTTGTTGTCTGCAAGTAATTGAAAATTAAATCTTCTTAGCTGCTGCTTTCAGTCACCCATGAGCCCCGATAATCACTTCTTTTGTTTTTTTCAGTAAGCAGGGAGCAGAGGACGGCCCTGCTGCAACCGACTGGTCAGGCTTTGATGAAAACTGGGGGAATTAAAGGCCCARTATTCCTCGAAGGAATGCATATTGCCATTTTTCAACATTAAATCGTGTTTTGTCATTCCCTCATCGAAAACACACCCAGAATGTTGCTTTGACTCATTCATGCATGTTTGAGTAATCCTCYAATCTCCTGCAGTCATGTGGAGCTGACTAAAGGCTTGCTGGTACAAAGCCCCGCCTATTTACACAAAGCTCCTCCCTGGAGCTGAGCTCCCGCCRAACAGAGCCCCCCCTACCCCYAAGCYTTGTTAAGATGTGCTGAAGTGGGATTGTCAGAAACAGTAGGAGGTTCTTAAAGAGACAAGAGGCTAATTTAAAGAGTAACCCCTGGCTGCAGACTGCAGAATGGG